ATGGAGGTCACAAGGAGAGGGGAGGGAGAGGGAGAAAGAAAAGAAAAGGAAAGGAAAGGGAGCGTCTTTACGGTGGTAGGTGGAGGGTGAGTTCCCTCTTGCAAGGATTAGTCGGGTCTCGGTTCGTACGTTACAGGCCGCCAGCAAGACCGGGGCCAGAAAGGAGGGAGGAGGGAGGAGGGAGAAGGGAGAAGGGAGAAGGGAATTTTGCAGTGGGTCGGAAGGAAGGAGTTGATGACCATCCCATCCTTTCGGCTGCTGGCAAGGGGAGAGACATTTGCTTCCAATTTCTCGGCCGTTATTTAGTTTCTCTGTTTTGCCGGACACCTGCCTACATGCCGCCCACTAGATGCCGCCCAAGGCTAGGTTATCCAAAAAATGTAGGCCGAACGGCGGCTGTCTGAAATCGAGCACAGCTGAAGAGGCGGTTACGAACTTACGAGACAAGCCACGCCAAGCTGAGAGGAGGCTGCAAAGGCAGTTGCTGACGGCAGACTCAGCGTGACGACACTGACGAGTGTTCATGGGGACAGCAGCGGGCGTGCTCCTCAAGCAGAAGCGAGGAGGATGATAAAGGTTTGGTCGATCCCGAGGCATACACAGAGAGAGAGAGAGAGAGAGAGAGAGAGAGAGAGAGAGAGAGAGAGAGAGAGAGAGGGGGGGGGGGGGGGGGGGGGGGGGGTGGGGGGGGGTGGTTTATTTGGTAGGGCGAGGGGACAACGAGGAGGAACTTCAAGGTATTAAACCACCAGTACTTGGCCCAGCTATCGGCCGCGGAAAAAAATAGAGTAGAAACGTTTCTAGTTGGATGAATTTGGGCGCTCCTGTAGTAGCCCGTACGTTTCCGAAAATCGCATAGCGTTAACGCTACGCGACTTTAGGAAGTACTGGTGGTTTAAGGAGGAGGGGGGCGATGGAGGGGAGAGGTAATAAGGAGGAGAGGGGGGGGGAGGGGAGGCGGCTGGAAAACTGAGGAAGCGATTTTTTTTTACTTAGTTCAGTCCCGTGCAGGTAGTGCGGTTAGTGCGGTTGGTCGGAAGGTTGGAGCGCGTGAAGGAAAGGGATGGTATGCATAAGGGCATATACTTACGGTAGTACTTTTTTTTCACTTTTCTCTGGACGGAATTGCGGCCAGATGCATATGAGTTCGGCCCTAAATGCGGTCAGGTACATTTAAGATAGTGGTAGTCTGAAGACGCCCTTAAGTCTTAAGTCATGCCGCCCGGTCTCGGTGTTTTTCTTGATGAGTTTACCAATTCAATGTAGTCTTTTATTTTATTCCTATTTTTTCTTGATGAGTTTACCAATTCAATGTAGTCTTTTATTTTATTCCTATGTTATTGTTTATTCGTATTTGATTTTTCCTTTTTTTTTTCATTCGTATTTGTTCTTTTTTTTTTTTTTACTTAGTCTGTCTTTTTTTTTACGCTTGTAATTGCCTTTTGTTTTTTCCCAGTTAGATCTCTAGTCGTAGTTGATTACGTTCCTCTGGGAAATGACTGCAGGCCGTGCAGGCCCTGAAGGGAGGTCTTCTCGCTTTTAGGAGAGAGGTACTACTTCTGAATCATCGTTTTCGTTGGAAAGTTTTTTTTCGCTCTTTTATTTTTATTTATTTAGGGTTAAGAGAGTTACGCGCTCCTGATTCCGTTTCGAATTTTTGTAATGGCATAATGGCATAATCGCACTAGCAAATTCCTTCGTATCAATAAATAAATAAATAAATAAATTGCAGGGATGTATCTGAGTGCATTTTCGTCCGTAAAGGATGCATGTGACCACTATGACGATAAGGTCCTGTGCAGTTCGTCGTTGTATGAGATTTTTCAGGATACTTTGGATGTATTTGAGTGTATTTTCGTCCGTAAAGGATGTATGTGACCACAATGACGATAAGATCCTGTGCAGTTTGTCGTTGTATGAGATTTTTCAGGATACCTCCTCGAGTTCTGATGTGACGCTACTGCCCGCCTCATTTCTCTTCGTCTCGCTCGCACTACGGCAGAATTTTTTTTATTTATTATGGCGGATATTTTATACACATACATTTTGATACATATTCATATATCGTCATATATGTATATATATATATATATATATATCGTCACAAACAGATGACGATATATATGTTATATATATGTATACAGGGTAACTGGCGTTCTGGACGGGCCGAACGCCCGAACCCAAACGTCCGAACGTATGGGACCCCTTGGGGATGCGTTCGGCCGTTCGGGCCGAACGCGGACCCAAAAAAAAAAAAAAGGTCATCAAAAAAATCTGAAAAAAAGATACGTTATGGAGAAAAATAGATTAAAGAAGTTTTTTTTTTTTTTTTTTTTTTAAAGCAACTTTTAACTTCGTCTTAAACAAGATTTGCCTGAGCATTACATCCGAATTCTGTACCAAATTTGAAATAAAAATAAAATACGAAAAACAAATACTAATAATAAAAATAAATAAAAATAAAAAGAGAATTAAAATTAGTGAGTGTGCGAGCATGTTTTCGACACCGCCATCTTTGGCGATTTTTCATTTTTTTTTTGGCATAGCTAAATGCCCTGAAAATTTACAGATGTGTACTTCACATAATACAAAACCCACTAAAAAAGTTTCAAAAAATAATAAAATTGTTTAGACCCCGAACTAAAGTGAAAACAAAAAGTAAAAAGTGAAAAAATACGTGGGAGAGCACGTTTTGACACCCCTATCTTTGGCGATTTTTAATTCTTATTTGGCTTAGCCAAATGACTTGAAAATTTACAGGCATGTACCTGATAGAGAACTCACAAACACAAATTCCGAAAAAAATTATTATTTGTAGGTCCCGAAATAATTTTTGGCGGGGGCCGAACGCCGTCCGGTTCGGACCCCGTACGGGACCCCGAACGCCTGTACGTACGGAGGTCTGCCCGGGGACCTCCGTACGTACGGGCTGGTGACCCTGTATGTATATATATATGTATATATGTATATATATCTATATATATATGATTTACAGTGTGACAATATATGTATATATATATATATATTACATAAAGTCGTTGATGCTTAACCACGACCGGGGTTAAGGTGGATTATCACTTACAGTGTGTAATCAGTTATTAGGGGATTCTGCAGACTGTTTGTCGAGGGTTCAGCCTCTACTGATTGATGAGTCTGTTGGTGAAACTCCGACGAAACAGCCTTTTGTCACAGCCCCTCCCTCGTTTGTTGTCCTCTTCTCCCTCTTGTCCCTCTCTGCCCCTACGCTTTACCAGGCAGCTCTGTTTGATGATATATACATCTGTACATATATATGTGTGTATGGATTTATTCACGTATATATATCTATATGTATATATATATATAGATATATTATATGTATCGATTCACATTAGCCATAGTGCAGGTTTTTTTTTTTTTTTTTTTTTTTTTTTAATTGTGGCCTGATGGACCACGGATCAGATATGAAACTGATCATTTGGCTTAGATCAAGCATAGTGCACGTTTTCACTCAAGTACGTTTTGATCATTCTTTTTTTTTCCTTCTTCTTTTTATTTTCTATTAACAATTGATGGTCTTTCTTTTTCTTTTTCTTTTTCTTTTTCTTTTTCTTTAAAAAGTGCCCCATCTATACTGCTTATGGGCCCCAGTCATCCGGAAGTGATGGCCTTTCTCTTTGTATGGTGCCTTTGATCAAGAGGGGTTTCCTGCTTATACGCTTTCAGTGCACGTTTTCACTCAAGTACGTTTTGATCACTCTCTTTTCTTTTCTTTTTTTTTCTATTAACAATTGATGGTGCCCCATCTATACTGCTTATGGGCCCCAGTCTTCCGGAAGTGATGGCCTTTCCGTTTGAATGGTATCTTTGATCAAGAGGGGCTTCTTACTTATACGCTTTCAAGTTTCAGCCTCCGTTTTCTCATACCACCTAATCTACCCTGCAATGCCACTGGCAATGCATGACAACCTGTCCATTACCGTAGGTGGACCGCTGTCTGAAGAGTCGTAAAAGGCCATCACTTCCGGAAGACGGGCCCATAAGCAGTATAGATGGGGCACTTTTTGAAGAAAAAGAAAAAGAAAAAGAAAGACCATCAATTGTTAATAGAAAATAAAAAGAAGAAGGAAAAAAAAGAATGATCAAAACGTACTTGAGTGAAAACGTGCACTATGCTTGATCTAAGCCAAATGATCAGTTTCATATCTGATCCGTGGTCCATCGGGCCACAATTAGAAAAAAAAAAAGTTTTTTTATTTTTTTTGGTTACCATTTCCCAATCGATTTATGGGTGTCATCCTTAATTGCGCAGGGGCCATGCTCATCTTTTTTTTTTTTTTTTTTTTTTCAATGCTAATCTTCATTCTCTGTATCCTTCCTTCCCTCTTTTCCCGCCCCTCCTGCCAGGGGCCAAGTCCCACTAGCAGCGTTGAGCTACCTCAACACCTGAATCTGGACGTGTTTGTGGAGACGTGCAGTTCAGGAAACTCCACACCATTTCTGCACATCTCGGGAAAAGCGTCCACATTCAGGAGTTGAGGTAGCTCAAAGCTGCTAGCGGGACTTGGCCCCAGGTAGTCAAGAATCACTGCTTTTCTTCACGTGCACCGCCTTTTTTTTTTTTTTTTAATGATGAATTTTGCACTTCGAACTTGAGTGCAGTGCCTGGCCAGGTGCCGGGACCCACTAGCATCGAGTAAATCTGTGTGTGGCGGCCGTTTCTCTTAAAAAAAACATATAAAGAATCCTTCTTTTGATTTTCAGAAATGCAAAGAAAACAAGGTCAACGCTATGCATCCACAGATTCCACACTTCCACCAACCCGGTACATCTGCATGCGACCTTCCCGCCGGCCTGTTCGCAGTCTTACACGGAAATCTCAATATTCTCAATTTCTGCAAAAAAAATAGCAAGGCGCGAAGCTGCCCCCCCCCCCCTCTCCCCCCCTGATAAACTCCAATATTGCAGCTTCGCGCCAACGCAAAGCGCCGAAGATACACAAAAGGATCAACGGTCGCCGGATGTCACCTCTCGTCGCACGTGGTTGAAAACCAAACTGCCGAAGCGTAAATAGATGATAGTGGGTCCCAGCTCCAGGGCTTCCATTTGAAACAGGAAGTGTTTTTTTTTTTTTTTTTTTTTTTTTTTTTTCG